TTTCGCCATCGCCAACAATGCCATTATTCACGATAAAGACACTTACGACCTGATCACCGCTGTCCTGCAATACATCTGTTCGGGCAGATCCGCCACAGAGAGTAAGGCGAAAGGCACCGGGGACATTCATGAGACTTACCAGAAACTCTTCCTCCCCAATCAGGGGGCAATACACAGTCTCATAGCCGCCGTGGTCCGCGGCAAGGTCCGGACTACCACGCTGCTTCTCTCTTTGGGCTTGCGGTCGCGCCTGAATGACCTTGATCCAAGCAAGCCTCGTGGCTTTACTGTCCTCGATCATGCCCTGCACTCCGCCGAGCTCAGTCGTCGGGCCCATATGGAGAAACTGGCCATGTACAAACCGGGTCCAGCACAGCGGGCCGCTGTAGACGACCAGGTCGTCTACGACGATGGGCAGGGTCCACCTGCTCGAGCTGCAGAAGCATACCATGCTTTTCCGGTGGTGCTGCGCTGCCTGTGCGAGGAAGGTGCAAAGCGGGCTTGTGAGTTAGAGATGTCGGGTAGCCATGCTGATGGTGCTGGTGCTGTAATTGATGGCACGTATATTCAACAGCAACAATGGTGGGATTGGACCTCCATCTATATATATAAGTTTACCCCGGTCACGCAGCCGCATCGGGAGCGGTGGGAACTACTTTACAAGCTGGCAAGATATCCGGTCGGTTGGAAGGAGGAACAGATCGAGGAGTTGGCGGAGCGGTATGTAGACGAAATCTGGAGGCCGGATATACGCTTTCTGGAGGAAGAGGAGGACCGGCAATTTGTTGGCGCGGTGGTGGCTAAGGTTGGAGTGGTTAATGGCGGTGGGGATGATGAGGGCTCGGTGGTGCGGTTAGAGGCAGTCGATCCGGTCAGGGGCAAGGTGGAGGTAACTGTTGGGGTTGCGGATGGGAGGGTGGTTAGCAAAACAAAGGTGAAGTGATATGCTAGATGTATGTGCACACCTGTTGTTGGATTTAGGCTGTTGAGAATTGAATTCGGTGCAACTTCTAGACTGGCCCTGTCCAGTTTCTTGGAACGGTCTTGGGATGTCCGCCGTGGCATTGAGGATGGACGAAAGGCAACCCCGCTTCAAGACCCACTGGAAGCCTTCAGTCCGTCTCCCATTCTATACCCTAGCTCTGCGACCAAATATGCGCCGCCGGTGATATCGGTGATGATAAAAAGAAGATACTCGGAGTTTCAGATATTCCTCTGTCCACCATCGATAAAAAGAGCAAGAACTTGAGAGAGAAAAAAGAGATGGTCCCAGAGGGGCTCGAACCCTCGACTTTAACGTTATTAGCGTTACGCTCTAACCAACTGAGCTATGGGACCCAGTTGATGTATTGGGCTTTTTCTGTTGTCAATATATCCTGCTGTTAAACCCTTGCAGCCAATGGTTCATGGTAGGTTGTGAGCAACACTCCAGTATTTGCGTACCTAGAATCGAGAGGTGTTGGTTAGAGAGTAGTGAGTTTATCGAGACTCTATGCTGCAGGCAAATGAGCTTCCAATAGTGAGATTTACATCCATGGTGTGCTGTGCCATTATTATCTGACATCATGCACTGGCGGATGTGGGTGAGCAAATATAAACTGGCGGATCGCCTCAAACAGCACCCTGTAATATTAGAACTGACCAAGTCTGGTACAGAGAACAAAAAGTCCTCCCTGGGAGTAGTTGGAATCGCCACTACTGGTGCTACTTGCGCAGTCACATGATCATAATGGGGTTGCATATCCTCCCCGGGCCCTTGTCCCCGGCTTCTCCAAGCTTCCCCAACACTCTTCCATCCTATCCTCATCTGACAGACCATGTCCACACTCAGAGCCACGAGCAGCAGCCATAAATAGTCAAACATACACTACATCTGCTACGCAGGCTATACAGCGTCCGCCAATCACGGAGAATAGCCCAAGTCCACAGCGCTTCAGCCGATCTGCACTGCAAATGTCCCGGATCTCCGGCCCAGGCTGGATCGCTACAGTCACCACGATGTGTCATACTCACGACAAACGGGGTCCCACCACGCAGTTAACCTGATAGATAATTGCCGACCCCCCAGTGAAGAGGTGATATTCCTTCTGTCAATGCTTCTCCCATTATCTTATATCTTATCTATCTTGCCCATTAATGTCCCGGTTACAAGAATCGCTGACCAAGGTCGATAGTTTCAACGAAACTGCCCGCCCGCCATTTCGGCCACACAGGAAGTCTTATCTCCCCTTGACCGCGATGACATGACAAGAACATCCATTCGAAAACGGCCTCATAAGCGGAGCCAACGCGCTGCCGCCACGAGGGGAGCTCTCGTGTTTACTTTTCATGATGGCTGATCTTCTGCCACATGTGACTTTACCCTGGCCAGGGGTGGAAACACATCTCACCCAAACAAACGTTGAAGAAACCCCTCAACCCCCTCTCATACCGTCCTGAAAGGTCAAATGAGAGAGTGAGGTAGCATCGCAGTTGCACACACCTCCTCGTTGCTGGCTGGGTTGGCCCTGGCCCGAGGTCCATTGCCCCCCATCGGCCGGGTCCGATGGAAGCCATCCCGGCTAGTGGGGACTGCCATCGACGATCGCCTGTAGTATCCAGTGGGGAAAAGAGGGAGGCGTCGCCCCGGGGCCTCGCTTACATTCTTTCGCGTCCTTCCCTCTTCCGTCCTGGCGACTCACGCCGTGCCTTTTCCAAGAAACTGAAATCCGGGGAAACCTGGTCAATGCGGCGGGCCTTGCCACGGCCACCGGCGATGACCGGCCCTCCACCAGCGAACATCGGAGGGTTTTCTATAAAGTGATCAAGCTGGATCTATACAAAAAAGGGGCTTAAATGGCTTAGTTTAAGTCGATTTAACAGTCATTGTGACGTGCCGGACAGGATCCTGGCCGATTGTTGTGATTGTCACACATAATTCTTCTTCAGATGCTCCCTCGCTGTTTCGGGTCCCATCTATACAACGTGCCAGCATGTCGCCCTACTTTGGCCTGCGAGGCTCGCGATTGGAACGTGCCGTCATGTGGCTCGTTGTCTGTCCGGCATTCGTGTGCTATGGCTATAACCAGGCCGTCACCGGCGGCTTGCTAACCCTCGAGTCGTTCGTCAAAACCTTTCCGCAGATGAACACGCTCACCACGACGGGCGCGCAGCAGAACTATAATTCAACTATCCAGGGTATTTTCCCTCGTCCAATTCCCCACAGTATTCGAATCGGAATCTAACCGTTCACAGGCACGGTCGTCGCCCTCTATACCGTCGGTGGTATTTTCGGCTCACTGTCATGCATCTACCTGGGCGACCTCCTGGGTCGCCGGCGGGTCATCTTCCTCGCATCCGCCGTGTCCATGATCGGGGCTATTCTCATGGCGACTTCTTTTGGCTTGGCCCAGTTCATCGTCGCTCGACTGGTGTTGGGACTGGGCACTGGCGGCTATGTTGCCACGGTCCCGGTGTGGCAGGCTGAAATCTCCCGACCCAGCAAACGAGGCGCCCACGTGGTAACGGATGGTATCTTCATCGGCGCGGGGATCACCATCTCGCTGTGGATCGACTTCGGCTTCTACTTCGTGACGGGGAGCTCGGTGTCCTGGCGGTTCCCGCTGGCTCTCCAGGTGGTGTTGTCGTTGATGGTCATGGCGTTTGTGATGGTGATGCCCGAGTCACCCCGGTGGCTGCTCAAGCGCGGCCGTCCCAAAGAAGCTAGCGAGATCCTGGCCGCGCTAGCAGACGCCGACCCCGAGGATGCCGTGATCACGCTGGCCGTGCGCGATATCGAACGGTCGCTGGCGCTAACGGGTTCCGGCTCTTGGAAGGATCTCCTGAGCATGGGGGAACAGCGCCTGTTCCATCGCGCGGCTCTGGCGGCTACAGGCCAGATTTTCCAGCAAATGTGTGGGATCAACTTGATTACCTTTTACGCTACAACCATCTTTGAGCAATATCTAGGGCTAGACGCGCTACAGTCACGTGTCCTAGCCGCCGCCATGTGCCTGACGCAGCCGCTAGGGGGTTTCCTGGCCTTCTTCACGATCGATCGGCTGGGCCGTCGGGTGCTGATGCTGTGGAGCGCGGCGGGGATGTCGGTATCAATGGCGATCCTGGCGGGCACGACATCGCTGCCGGACAACACGGCGGCGCTGGTTGTAGCCGTGATCTTCCTCTTTGTTTTCGAGTTCATCTTTACCGTGGGCTACTCCGGCCTCACGTTCTTGTACGCGACGGAGGTGGCGCCGCTGCAGCTGCGGGCCGCTATCAGCGCGGTTTCGACGGCGGCGGTGTGGACCTTCAATTTCTTATTAGCCGAGGTGACACCAGTGGGCTTCGACACCATCTCGTGGCGGTACTACATCATCTTCGCCGTGCTGAATGCGGCGATCGTGCCGACGGTGTATTTCTTCTTCCCGGAGACCAACGGGCGGTCGCTGGAAGAGATCGACGAGATTTTCATGCAGTCGAAGAGTGTGCTGGACCCACCGCGCCTGGCGCGCACTTTGCCGCGCATGCTGCACGTGGCGGATGTGGTGGATGAGACCGAGACGGAATCCGGGGGGGAGAATGGTAATGGTAAAGGAAAAATGTGACGAGGCGTTTCAATTGGAGGATCTTGGCGTACCTGTCTACGCGAGATGTTCCTGATGTATCTACCTATAGCCCGAGGACAGTGACTTGGCCATGCATAATTGGTTCAATATACCGAACGACCCGAAAAGAGGCGTTCTTCGATACGAACTCGAAGGATGAACGATAACTTTAACGAGGATTGTCGCACCAAGGAGAAAGTGGAGCACGGGCGGAACAGACCGGAAACAACACCCTGAAACCGAAGCCGCCAATGAGATGTCTACAATCTATCTCGTCCCTGTGAGCACTGGCCCCCAGTGATGAGCCGGGGTCTGAGGAGTACAGGAGTACATCCATTCACCCTCAAGTTCGATCTCTACTTGCAAGAACAAAAACAAAAACAAAAACAAAAACAAAAACAAAAACAAAAACAAAAGTATCATGAAACGTTCCTGACATTATCATTATAACCTCATCAAAAGAGCTAGGTAGGTATCTCTATTATATCCTCCAGGGATACATTTACCGCACGCAGTAACCACCGTCGATCAACAAATCAGCACCAGTCGTGTACGAGCTCGCATCGCTGACGAGGTAGACATAGGCACCCTTCAGCTCCTTGGCATCACCGTTGCGGCCCATGGGGATCATGGACATCCACAGATCCTGGACCTTCTGGTCGACGAAGTCGGAGAGACCGGTGTCGATGTAGCCGGGGGAGATGCTGTTGACGCGGGCGAAGTCGCGCCACTCGTTGGCCAGCGACTTGGCCATGTGGATGCAGCCGGCCTTGGCGACGTTGTAGGAGGTCTGCTCCTGGGGGAAGTTGGCGATGTGGCCGGACATGCTGGAGGTGATCACGAAGCTGCCCTTGCCCTGCTTCTTGAAGTGGGGGCCGATCGCCTTGGCGCAGTGGAAGGTGCCGTTGAGGTCGGTCTGGATGACCTCCTCCCAGTCCTGGACGGAGCCGTCGAGGATGCCGCTGTTGGCGGTGCGGCCGGCGTTGGCGATGAAGGCGTCGACCTTGCCGAAGTCCTTGATCACGTCGTCCACGAGCTTCTGCACGCTGTCGTAGTTGCCGACGTCGCACTTGTAGGCCTTGGCCTTGACGCCGTAGGTCTTGGAGAGCTCGGCCGCGTTCTTCTCGCCGCCCTCCGGCCGCGAGGCGTACGTGATGGCGACGTCGGCGCCCATCTCGGCGCAGCCGCGCGCGGCCTCAATGCCCATGCCGCGCGGGCCGGAGGCGCCCGTGATGATCACGACCTTGCCCTTGAGGCTGAAGAGGTCCTGGAGGCTGTTGGCGCTGGGGACGGGGATGGGCATTTTGGTGGTGTTGGGTGGTTGGTTGATGTAGGTAAGAAAGAGAGAGAGAGAGAGAGAGTTTGGATGGATGGATGGATGGAATTGAGTTTGGAAGAGTTGGATTGAATGATTCTGGGAAAAGAGCAACAGGGGAAAAGGAGGGGATATAAATACGAGAGAAGGGGTGAGGGGTTGGAGGGGCAGTGGAGGGGCATGGATCCCTGCAGAGGTACGTACGTACGTGTACGTAGCTCTCTCCCTCCCTCGTATGGTACGTGGTACTTTTTTTTCTTTACCTGCTTACCTGCATATTGCATATTGCATATACGATGTCACAGAGTCTACTGGAGCCTAGTGTCTGTTCTAGAGCGAGAGAGCGAAACAGAAAGAGAGGGGGAAGCAACAACTTAGGGTCAAACTTGGCGGGAAAAGCGGGGGATGAAGTCATCGATTCCTGCCTTTTTCCTCTCCCATGATGTCATCGCCCAACTAACCCTGAAAACCCTCAAACCCTCAAACCGGCTGAATTGCACTTCTGGTTCCAACTCCACTTCCACTTCCACCAGACCCAGTCCACCCATTTTTTCACTTCTTTTCTTTTGGATGAAATTTTGTCACTGGCTTTTGTTCTGTCATGTGCTGGATTTCATAATCAATGCACACAAGCCCGCTCTATCGGCATTGGTCGGCATTCTCCACTCGGCCCGGATGCAGGTTCATGACGACAACGATCCCTTGACATCCGACCTTCACCGGGCTGCCGAACCAGGGTCCGATTTGTGGGAAAGGGTGGGAAGTATATAACAAAATGGGGAGGGACAAAGGAAGAAAATTCTGCTGCTGCGTGCAGAATTTAGCCTTTGCTGTTGCTGCTGTTGCTGCTGCTGCTGCTGCCTCACCATGAGTGCTGCTAGTGCTGTTCCTGAGGATAGACGCCCGTCCATGCGGCGGGCCAGTACGGCGCATACCAATGATTTCGATGACTCGTTTTTCGGGCGGTAAGTCTGTCAGTGTGTGGGATTTTCCGGGCATTGGGGACTGATCGAAGGTCACAGGGTGCGATCGTTCTTCCATCGCGATCGCCATGTCGGGGTGGTCAGTCGCAATGAGTTGCGCGACAAGGAGGATCTGGAGATTCACACCTGGAATGGCAAGGATGATCCGGACAATCCGTACGTTCAATCTGGGGAGTGCAGGATAGGCGAAGGCCAAGCGACGGACTGACAGGTGCGGATAGGTTCAATTGGAGTCCAGCGTATAAATGGGTTTTGACAGTCACGGTGTGCTTCATGTAAGCCCCCCCCCCTCCTTATAGCCCTTCCTCCCACTCAGACCAACCCTAACACAATCTCCTGCGCAGCTCCATCCTCACCGGTATCCCCGCCGGCTCCTACGGCTCCGGCAACGACTACATGGAGTCGCGCTTCCACGTGCAGAACACCCCGTTCCCCAACCTGTACTGGGCGACGTGCTCGTGGAACATGGGGGCCGCGTTCTGGCCGCTGATCTTCGTGCCGCTGACCGAGTCCTCCGGCCGGATGCCCGGCTACTTCGTGGCGTACATCATCCTGATCATCTCGCTGTTCCCGTCGGCGTTCGCGCAGAACTTCGCGACGCTGGTGGTGACGCGGTTCTTCGGCGGCGGGGCCTCCTCGGTCTCGATCAACATCGTGGGCGGCAGCATCAGCGACGTCTGGTACGGGGACCGGGCGCGCAGCCTGCCCATGTCGCTGTTCGGGCTGACCAGTGTCATCGGCATTGCGCTGGGGCCGTTCATCGGGTCGGCGATCGTGCAGATCCACAAGGATGATCCTTGGCGATGGATCTTCTACATCCAAATCATCTACCTGACCGGCCTCCTCCCGATCTTCTGGTTCATCCTCCACGAGACCCGCGCGGACGTGATCCTCAAACGGCGGGCCAAGAAGCTCCGCAAGGAGACGGGGCGCCCGATCTACGCGGAGGCGGAGCTGGACAACACGAGCGTGTGGCGGCTGCTGCAGATCTCCTTCGAGCGGCCGACGCGCATGCTGCTCACCGAGCCCGTCGTCATCTTCTTTACGCTGTGGATCAGCTTCGCCTGGGGCATTCTGTACCTGTTCTTCAGCTCGGTGGTGCAGACCTACTCCACCAACTACGGGTGGGGCACGCTGGCCACGGGCCTCATCCAGCTGGCCATCTCGGTGGGCGCCGTGATCGGCACCGCCATCAACCCGCTCCAGGACATGTTGTACCTCAAGTCGGCGAAGCGCAACAAGGAGATCCCCGGCCGCCCCATCCCGGAAGCCCGGCTGTATACCTCCGTGATCGGCAGCCTGCTGTTTGCGGGCGGACTGTTCTGGTACGGGTGGGCGAGCTTCCCCTTCGTGCATTGGATCGTGCCCACGTGCGGCATCGCGGCGGCGGGGCTGGGGATCTATTCGATCTACATGGCCGTGGTGAACTACCTGACGGATGCGTATGAGAAGTACGCGGCCTCGGCGCTGAGTGCCGCCAGTCTGGGGCGGAATACCTTCGGCGCGTTCTTGCCGTTGGCGAGCTATGAGTTGTTCGATACCTTGGGGTTCGGGTGGGCCGGGTCGTTGTTGGGGTTCATTGGGCTGGCGTTGTCGGTGGTGCCGGTGGTGCTGATCCTCAAGGGGCCGGAGATCCGGAGACGGAGTCCGTTCATGCGCGAGTCGACGTTCGGGGCCGACGAGGAGGTGGAGTTTGAGAAGGAAGAGCAAGATGTTGAGGGGGAAGGGGGCAGAGAGAGGGTGGTCACGATGAATGAGACGCGGCATACGGGGTTTCCGCAGCATGATGTCAGGAGGGAGAGGATGCGGAGGGGGAGGACGGAGAGTGGGCAGTGGGGGGAGGAGGAGGTTCTTGGGGAGGGGTCGAGGGCTTGATTTTTTTTGTATATTTGTGGGATATCATGGATTGGCATGGGTTTGGATCTCTGGGTTTGGATCGGGTTGGGCAAAAGTCTGGGTTCATCTGTATAGTTTCTTCGAGGTCGGTCGGTGGCATTTAATCTGCATGTACAGTATATTATGTGGACAGACTAGACCCCTGCGCAATTGACATATTGCCTGATCACAGCCTCACCACCTGAAGACGACCACCCCCCCCCCCCCCCCCCAAATCCAACCCTACGACCGGAACAGAGTAGAAAGACTACGCATAATTCTGATGCCAAACATACCCCCCCTGCCCCCCCTGCCCCTTGGCACCCCTCAACAACTCCTCAATCCTGACCAACGCCGGCGTCGGCTCCCTCCCCAACACCTCGGCCATCAACCCCTCCGAATCCACCACCGCCTCCCCCTTCGCAATCCCCTCATGCCACGAGACCATCGCCTCGAAGAACCCGGCCGCCTTGCCGCCCTCATCATCCGCCGCATTCCGGGCCACGTACTCGGCGGCCGGAACAAACTCCACCCCCACTTTCCTACTGTCTTGGCAGTGGTGTGCATTGATCAGGTCCACAATCTGCTGGAACGACAGCGTCTCCCTGGCGCTGAGCACGACGATCTGGTCGCGGTAGCCGGCCCCGCCCCGCAGGAGGAGGCGCGCGGTGGCGTGGCCCAGTTCCTCGCGCGAGGTGAAGGTGATTCGTTGGGTGTGGGCTAGTTCTGCTGGGTCTGTGGTGGCGGATTGTGTGGTGGTTGTGGTTGTTGGGGGCTGGGGGAGGATGATGGTCTTCGTGGTGGGGTACCAGTTGAAGTAGAGGGGGAAGGCTTCGGTGTATAGGCCTTCGCGGATGGAGGTGTAGGGGATTCCGGAGCTGGATTGCATTAGACTGGGTGGTGGACTGGGTTTGGAATAGGGCTAGGTAGATATCAAGGGGCCATGGGCAATGGGCAAGGGACGGGGAGCATACACGCGCAGCATCTCCTCGGTCATGTAATGCGCTTGCTGCACGGCGACCTGCGAGGTCGACGTGTGGCCGCCGAAAGCGAGGGAGGTGTACCATATCTATTTTCCTGGTGTTAGTGCCTCGTGTGGGTTGGGGGGCCGGAGGGGGTGGTATCTCCCCAAGAGAAGGTCAAGTGGAGAGGAAGGAGGAAGGGTACCCTACATGCTTCACCCCCGCCCGCTTCGCGGCGTCCACCACATCCTGATGCTGTCTCCGGCGTCGCTCGTTGTCGAAGGTGTTGGAGCTGACGAAGAACAGGTTCTCCACCTCCTGGAAGGCAGCGTCCAGCGTGCTCGGGTCGTCGTAGTTGACGACCCGGAAGGCGAGGCCCTGGCGCGTGAATTCGTCCGCTTTGGCGCGGTTGGAGGAGGCGACCGCGTAGGTCGAGGGCTCGACGTGCGCGAGGAAGTACTCGAGCACGTGCGCGCCCAGGCCGCCGGTTACGCCGGTGAGGAGGTATTGGACCATTCTTTCTGGGGCTGATGATTAAAAGGTGAGGATGGGGGGTTATTCGGTTACTGGAGGTTGTTGGTGATGCTGGTTAGGGTTATATATGTAGCTGATTAGATTAGATTGAATTTGGCGGATGGCTGATAAATCAGACGGATTGGTCAGCCGTGCTGACGCGGTGTGGCTTGCGGTCGCATGATGGTGAGACAGACTGAAGACAAGACTAAGGAAGTTGTGGAAGATTGGGGTCTTGATTGGTGAGTAGATTTGGCATGTTGCAGGTAGAGATGTTGCAGGCTGATTCGGTGAGGTTGTAGAGCTACCGCATGAGCTTGGTGGTCGTGCGGGATGGATAAGATACCTGTTGTTCTGAGTGCACGAACATCTTGATCTAGAGCGTTTGTGGTAAATCTCGCGATGGGATGTCAACCTGCCTAATTTCAGCGCAAAATTGTGCCAGTTGCATAATGACTATCGTTGGAAATGTCAGCATGCTTGAGCTGTGGGAAGATGTGCCTGTTCCATACTACAACTACCATTGGCTGTGCCGGGCATAGCTACAATACAACGAGACCACCGGCCATTCTGGTGACATATCCATTCGTCAAATTAAGCAAACAAGGCTATTCACTTTTCTCATCATCGTCAGGTATCATGCACCGATCCATTACTCCGGCATGTGCTTGAACGGCTTGGCCAAGTGCTCCTGGCAGAAGGGCAGCTTGCTGACCGTCCAGATCTCCGTGTCCTGCTTACGTCAGACCACCACCCACCCACCCAACCAACAATGATAGGTGCCATGAACATACCGGCTTCAGCGTCTTCTTGATCTCCGTGTCCAGCGTGCCCGCCTTGATGGCGATGATCTCCGGGGCGGCGTCCGGGTCATGGGCGATGGGCGAGCCGCACTCGGAGCAGAAGATGCGGTGCACCGCCTTGCCCGACGACCCCAACCCCGCCCAGCTCTTAGTCGGCCCGTTGATCGTGAGCTTGTCCTTGGGAACCACCGCGACCAGCGCTGTCGAAATTAGCATTAGCATACACTCGGTTGAATTCCCGCCAAAAAAAAAAAAAAAAGACGTACAGTAGGTGGAACCGCTCTGACGCTGGCAATCGTCGCAGTGGTCGTACCCGACCAGGGCGGGCTCCTCCACCTCGATGGTGTAGGTGACGGCTTTGCACAGACAGTGACCGGTCAAAGGCATTTTGAAGGCTGTGATTGGTGATTGGTGATTGGATCAGATTGCGACAAAGACAAGAGTTAATGGCGAGCAAGGTTCTCAATGAGGACCTTTGGGGTCTGCGAGGTCGTGGAGTATTTATAAGGTAGGCAGCTCGCAGCTCGCAGCTCTTCGTGTTTTGTTGTTCTCGGCAGATCAACTCATTGACGACATGGCGGGGTTGCGATAACTTTAGTGTTGGGGGGGGGGGAAGGGGGTTTCACTTGCGTCACTTGGCAACTTTTTCAACCGGATTGACCACTCTTACCTTACTCAGTATGGAGAAATCAATATTCCAAATACGAATGACACGAATGATACGAATTGGGTCTCACTGCCTCACTTCCAATGCACCGATGCACTGATTTGTCACGCTCCATAGGAAACCTAAGCTCTCTCCCAGCCAATGGGTCGCAGGTTGGCAGCTGTTGTGGTCCCCGCGATAAGAGTCAAGGTTTCACGCTAACCATGCCCCCTCTCCCCTCTCCGTCCGCTGTCATTCTCCGTGCCCAAGTATTTGGAATTTTGATTATTTTCTGTCGTGTTTCGGCGGGTCTCCGATCGTGGATGATTGGATTCTGAGGTGGAAGGATCTAATGTTCGGTCTTTGTTGAGCTGCACGCTGCAAGCTGCATAAACTGGGTGTGGAGCGGTTGACCAGTTGCCGAGTTTGATAACGTGCAACAATGCGGTCGCTCAGGCTGTACCACTTTGGGGACCATGCAGTGCAGTGCAGTGTACTGTACTGCTATGCAATGCATACTGGGGTGCCAAGGGCTGATGCACAGGAAAATTGAGCTCTGCAGGTGGCTGCAATCGTTGATTGGCTCCTTCCTTCTTCAATGCTGCACGGCGCATTTGGAAGCTGGATTATGTCCGCAGAGTACTCGGCTGTTAGCAACAGGCTGAGAAGCTGCGTTTGCTATGAGACTGGACCGAGAATTTGGCTCGATTTCGGGAGAAAAGAAAAACGCTGATGCGGCGCTGTGCTTGAACAAGATGGGTCCAGCCCGCCCCATACCCTACCCCTGGTGCTGCTGTCACTGAGCCGCCGTCACTTTCAGCCCTAGGCTAGAGGGTCCCGACTCCCGAGTCATGTGGAGGGGACTCGCTAGCCAGGCTCATCTGATAAGGCCATATTAAGTGTAGGGTTCACGTTATGCAGATGCTTGTCTGCTGCTTGGAAAACTACGAACTACGAACTACGAACTCAGGTGGATGTGGTAGTACAGGAGGAGAATTCCTTAGGTTAGGACAGCGAGAGAGCGGTGCAGGTGCAGGTGGACGCAGCGGCGGAACTAGGAGGGGCAGCGGCGGTTGATGAGCCGGCCTGCTTGGTACAGGGAGACAGGGATGGTTGTCAAGATGGGGAGGTACGTCGTGAGGTACGTGAGGAGGTTCATGGTCTTGTGGTTTTGGTTGTGGAGTTCTGGGTTGTTGGGATCGAGGATGGTCGGTGGAGGATGGGATGATTAGGATAAGATGATTAGAATGAGATGGTTAGGATGAGATGGTTAGGATGAGATGGTTAAGAATGAAATCTATGAAGATGGCCATGAGGAAGGTCGAGGAAGGTCGTAGAGATAAATGTAGGAAGAGTGGGTGGTTAGTTGTGGTTTGGATTGGGGATTCAAAGAAGTGGTAGTTGTACGGTCCGTTCTGAGGCGATGGCTTCTGAGATGAAAAGGTAGGGGCCATACTTATCTTCATGTCGTCAGGGTGAGGGCTTTAAGCGGCCTTGCTGGAGCTGAAGATGTTTGCTCGAGGGTTTCGGTTGGGGAGATGGGATGAATGATTTGGTGAAGTTGTTAGATGAGCATGAAGGGAGCCTATACAGATAGTTCCGTTTGCTTGGTTGAGCTCTGCATGTTTGCTCGAGATCTGCTGGACATCTTCAGCTAAAAGACTCCATGCACTGAGTGTAGGTGTGATTTTTCTAGTAAGAAGCGAAGTTGCTTGTAACAAGATGAAGATCGCATTTGATAGCGGGTCAATGATAGGAATTGGAGGTGCTGTTATAGGAAGGAGCAGGATGCCTTAAGTGTCCTGGATCTCCGATCATAGGGGTGAGTTGAACTGAAGATTTGGTAGACGCTATGGCCGACTATTCTGTGGTTAGTTGCTCTATGAGACCAATGCTCGAAGGATTGATAGTCGTCGAGTCGGTGCCTCTGAGTGAGATTATCACTGCCATCTAGGATCTAGCCAGAACACATCATGGGTGGTCTACTGTCTATGTCAACCAATATGACTGGTAGTGTCATATACTGAGTAGCGCCAACGAGTACGGGCTCTCGAAAACCTCCCTCATCTATAGAAGGTACTACGATAATGCAGAGGACATAGGATATAGTGACCCATTGTTATATGAGCAGCGACTGTGGACTCAGCCTTCATGTAGTCAATAGTATGAGTTCTATCTCAGCATGCTTCCATACCTGATAATTTGAGTATCCTCTATTACATGCTGTCGCAAGATTGATAGATGGCCTGTA